AACCTAGTAGAGGGTGTGTTGCGAGTCGCTTTTTAAGGAAGATTTTATTTAGTTTATATATTGAATTTGGGTTGTCGCTGCGTTCCAGTTGGTCTAGGTAGTTGTCCCAGTCGTCTTGCTTTTGGGTCTTTAGCATGCTTCTAATTAGTTTGATTTTGGCGTTGAGAGTTTTCTTGGTGTTGGGGTCTCGGTTTATTTGCCATTCGCGACGAATTCGGTTTTTCAGGGTTATTTCGTGGAGGATGAAGTCTGGGATTTGGTTTTTGGTGGAGTTCTTTTTGGAGATTGATGCGCTATTATTGAGGACTGTTTGTATGTAACTAGTAAGTTTTGTTATGGCCGTGTCAATTTCTTGCATTTTGTTCGTTGGAGGGTTGATGATAGCGGATTCTCATGACAGAATGTCTTTGAATTTTTTCCAGTTGATTAAGCGATTGGTGGATGGTGGGGATGATTTGATTGGAGAGCTTGAAATTTCCAGGAGTACCGGATTGTGGTCTGATGAGGGCTCGTTTAGGTTAGTGACTTTGACTAGTAAGGGTACTCTGGTCAGGGCTATGTCCAGGTCATCAGGTCTGTGGCCTGGAGATGATGTGTAGTGAGTTGGGGAGTCCGGAGCGTAGATCATATAGTCGTTTTGTTGTAGGTGGTTGTAGATTGTCTTTCCGGATAGGTTGTGCAGTCTGCTATTCCAGAGAGTGTGCTTTGCGTTCAGGTCTCCTGCCGCTATAAACCATTTGGTGCTTTTTGTTAGTATGTCGAGGTCGGTAATCTCTAGTTTTGCATTTGGGGGCTTGTAGACTGCTGAAACCAATACTTCTTTGTCATCAATTTGTATTAAGATGCTAGTTGATTGGAGAGCTGTGTTTAGTTTCGTTGGTTGATGAGTTACGCTTCTGTGTACAAGTATGGCTGTTCCTCCGTGAGATGGTGATCCTGGAACTAGAGGTAGATCATTTCTGTAGGTGAAGAAGTTCGGAAGTTTGAGGTTAATTTTCGGATTCAGGTGGGTTTCGTTTAGTAATATAATGTCTGTTTTGTTTTGATTAATGTAGTTTTGGAGTTCAAGGATTTTATTTTTGATGTCGTTGGAGTTCCAGTAAACAATTTTTAGGTTATTCATTGTTGATTGCTAATATTTTGAGAAATGAATTAATTGTTGAAATTAGAAGAGCTTTTGTGTCCTCGTTGGAAGTGATAATTTGTAAGAGATTTGTTGTATACTTAACTGTAGAAGAGTACAACTCAACTTTAGGATTAATAAAAGACGTTTATTATGAAACGCTATAACAGCAATGACAAGTAATTATTTTCAATATTAGCGTACGCCGTGAACAGTCCCCACTGCGTACACATTAATTAGTGTTATCTGAATAACCATATTATAAATATAACAATATAACAATATACAACACCTCTCCCCTTACATTTAATTACAAATTATTTACAATTATTTATAAGACATTTTAATCATGATTGAGAAGGTGTGCGAATAAAATGAACAAAGATACAACTAAAAACAATGCTATCTCTTTGTATGGTAATTTATACATAATTTATACCTAAGAATAACAAGGCTCGTGCTTATAACTAATTTAAACAAAAAAATAACGATAATCGTCTTATTTTCTAAAATCTAACGACTTATAGCGATCAGGCGATCTCCTGACTCTAACCGGGCGAGAATGTCCAGTCGAGCTAGTCATAATTCCCCGTCTACGTCATCCTCGACCACCTCCTGATCTTGTACCTCCCTTGGTTCGAACGAACTATCATGACCTTCGTCTTCGGGTACTCCCAGGTCCCTATTTGGTATTTTAATGGTTTGGTCTATGTGTCGCTTCCACGTGCCCACCTCGGTATCTACCTCGAACGCGTGTTTACCCATGGTGTTTGATACTGTCCCCATTGACCACTTGTTATCCCCCCTTCGGTAATCACGCACGGCCACTGTGTCTCCCTGCCTAATTTCGAGCTGCCGTTTGCCGTGACGTTTCACTTGGGAATTCTGGTGATCACTAACCACGTCCTGTGTACTCGGGATTAAGGTATCGAATTGTGTTCAAATATTACGACCTAGTAATAATTTCGCCGGTGTCTGGCGTGTGGCCGAGTGCGGTGTATTGCGATAAAATAATAGACATTTTTGCAATAGTGTAGTACTGGTGGTTTTATTTTTCTTAAAAAAAAGTTTAACTAATTTGACCCCTGATTCGGCTGATCCGTTCGTTTGTGGATGGAACGGGGCCCCTACCAAATGCTTAATGCCGCCGTTGGCGCAAAACGTACTGAATTCCGTTCCTGTGAAACACTTAGCTCCATCGGAAGTAATAACCTTAGGGACTCCATAACGTGCAAAAAGTTCTTGCATTTTTAAAATGACAATTGTCGCCGTACATGCGCTTACCTCGAACACTTCGAGCCATTTCGAAGTCGCGTCTACTATGACTAAAAAAAATTTATTTTTGTAAGGTCCTAAAAAGTCTACATGTAGGCGCGTCCACACGTGTTCCGGCCACTTCCATGGCGTTAGCACTGCCTTCGGCGGTGCGGGTCTAACCTGCATACAACTTTCGTAATTGCGTGCCATATTCTCGATGTCGCTGTCGATCTTAGGCCACCAAAAATAAGAACGCGCGATCGCCTTCATACAACTCATCCCCGCATGCCTAGAGTGCAATTCTGCTAATAGGGTCACCCGAAATTTACTTGGTATAATTACCCTGTACCCCCACATCAAACAGTCCTGTTCGGTCGAGATTTCGTAACGACGCGTGTAATACGGTTTAAGCAGCTCGTTTTTATCCGCGTGTATGGGCCACTCACCAATGTTGATAGCCTTAATTACCTGAGATAAGGTTTTATGCACTCGTGTTTGTGTTTTTATTTTGACCCAATTAACGTTAAACGGGCAATCGTCATAAATAAAATTAAGACACCGCGGCGTCGTTAATTCTTTATCTGCCGTGCCTATTCTAATGCGCGATAAGTAATCCGCCGCGTTTTTCTCAGATTTAACGTACGAAATGTCATAATCGAATGCTGTTAGTACATGAGCCCACCTTTGGAGTCTATTTGCCGCGTAAACCGGTATACCTTTCTTTTCCCCAAAAATGTGGTAGAGCGGTTTGTGATCGGTAACTAGGGTAAATCTGCGTGCGTATAAGTAGTCGTAAAACTTTTGAACGCCGTATATAATCGCTAATCCCTCTTTTTCGATTTGCGGGTATTTACGTTCCGCTTCTGACAACACACGCGAAGCATAAGCTACTGGTTTTTCAGCGTTGCCGTATACCTGTGAGATTACCGCGCCGACCGCAATCGAACTTGCGTCCACCATTAATTTAATTGGTACCGACGGATCGTAGTGGTCAAGTACGGGTTTAGACGACAATATTGATTTGATATTATCAAACGCGTCGCCCGCTTCTTTGGACCAAGACCATTTTGCCCCCGCTTTTAAAAGGTCGTACAATGGTTTTAGAATCCGTGCCGCGTTTTTAACGAATTTAGTATAATATGTTACCAACCCGAGGAAGCTTTTTAATTCGGACCGGTTCTGAGGCGCCGCTGCCTCCTTAATCGCGGTTGTGTGTTTATCTAAGGTATGCAAACCTTGTCTGTCTATTTTATGACCTAGATATTCCACCGCTGTCTGCAAAAAACTACACTTACGCTCTCTTACTTTTAGCCCTGCTGAGCCGAGTGCTTTTAAAAGTTGGTCCAAACGTGCATTATGTTCAGGCACCGTTTTACCCGATACAATGATATCATCAATGAACACTTCCACTCCCTCTATTTTTTTTGTGATAATTTCAATTGCTTTCTGAAATTCACCCGCCGATGATTTTAAACCGAACGGAACGCGTGTGTACCTAAATAAACCTTTAATCGTATTTATGGTCGTTAACGCGCGTGAATTATCGTCGAGTACCAACTGCTGATAAGCGTCCTTCAAGTCTATTTTAGAAAAATATCTCGCGCCCGCTATTCTGGCGTAAAGGTGTTCTATCTTGGGCAGGGGATATTCCGTACTGACTAACACGGGATTTATGGTCTCTAATATTGAAAATAATTACTTGTCATTGCTGTTATAGCGTTTCATAATAAACGTCTTTTATTAATCCTAAAGTTGAGTTGTATTCTTCTACAGTTAAGTATACAACAAATTGGCGACGAAGATTTAAAATTTTTTTTTTTGTTTGTTGCTAGTATATGATACGGGTGGCGGGTGCCTTGCCGTGTCGTGTGTTGAATAATAAGACGGATGCTTGATATTACGGTTGTTCTTTATTATTCAGAGGTTTTAGGTAATACAATAAGTAACGGTGAGGGCGGGACTCGCATAAGTTCGCCTCTCACTCTGGGTTAAACGGGCACTATGTACCTCACAGTAATGGTACTATATTGTCCTACAGGGGATACAGAAGTGTGGGGGATGTATTGGGATGACTAGAAGGAAAGTAGGGCAGCTTGCATAAGCGCCTACGGACTCTAGTCACCGGGAGGAGAGCGCAACTTTAATAAGTGACTCTGTATTTTTAGGAAGGACGGCCTGCGATGTGGAATCGTCGGTGGAGCCGTGTGAACTGTCGGCACGTCTGCTGCGGGTGCCGCTCCTGTCGGTTCCGCTCCTGCTGAGTCTCTGTGGTTACTGCTGGTGTCGCTTGCTACTGCTGGTAGACGCTGGCGGTTGATAGTGTAGTTGTCGGCTTCCAAATTATCCAGTGTATAAGATACCCGGATGGTTGGAAGAAGACTGTGTTGATTGTGGGATTGCGGTCGGTATTTATGCTGTTTTCGTAAAAACCCCGCAATCCCATTGGCTGATGTTTTGTTAGTGGTTTTTCGGTAGTTTCGTTTACTATTCGGTACGGATCGTTGGTGGCCTTGAGAAAGGCCGTTTTAGATGGTGTGTTGCACCGTTACATATATAACATATTTTATATACATATTGTTAGTAAAAAATATTTTTAAAAAAAAAACCGAACTCGTTTAACATGACACAATCATCACGCAACGACGGAGCATCATCGGCGTCAGTAAGGACCATCTACTCGCAAGTCATCGGCACTCCGGGAATTTTCGATCAAGAGACGAATGTAAAGATATATTTCGCTCGGCTAAAGAACTTTTTCGCCGCCAACGGCATCACGGAGGAGAGTAAGAAGAGGGCAATTTTGCTATCCTCGATTTCGGAGGAAGTGCATAAAATTCTGTTCAGTCTGTGTTTACCCGAGGACCCCGACGGTAAGACTTTTGAGTCGTTATCGGTCATACTGCAAAATCACTATGAGGCAAAAAAATCGTATTTTGCCGCCCGCCACCAGTTTTACCTAGCTCGTAAAAACCACGATGAAAGTATGGTCCAGTGGGGCGCTCGCGTACGCGAACTTGCGTCTAAATGCGGTTTTGGGCCAGAGCTGGAGGTAGTAGTGCGGGACGTATTCGTTGTTGGAATGGGATCCGGCAAGATCCAGGATCGTTTACTGGAAGAGGATGCGTCAGTAGCATCAACCACGCTGGTTAAGCTGATGGAGGTGGCGACCACGAAGGAGGCAAACATCAACGCGAGTAAAGAGTGGTCAAGGGAAACGACCAGTGCGCTCCACTTCACCAAACAGAAAGGGAGTCAAGTATACACGACACCGAAGCGAAATGGAGTTAAGCGGTCAAGTGGACATCACCAGAATGCGGCCACGAGTAACCAAGCCAACAGGAAAGGGAAGTGCCAAGTATGCGGCCGTTCCAACCACGACACCGGATCATGCAGGTTTAAAAATTATTCTTGTCATGGGTGCGGGGTAGTAGGTCATTTGGCCCCTATGTGCAAAGCTAGGGGTACACAAAATAAAGGTACTAAGTATAAGGCGCAAAATAAGTTTTTAACGGTAAAGGAGCGGTCAGGCGATCACGATTCTTGCGTAGATTTCATCGATTCTTTTTTTGCACTTAATGATATTTCCCACGATAAGCTTAAAGTAGCCCCGTATCGAATTAGTTTAGCTGTCGAAGGTAAACCTATAACCTTTGAAATTGATACCGGTTCTGTGCACAGTATTATTTCCGAATCGATGTTTAAATCATTAATAGGTCCGAAGGTTATTGTCACTAACGACGTCGAGTTGCCAGATTACGTCGGCAATAGAATCACACCGATAGGTAAAGTCGCGCTCACCGTCACGTATAACAATAAAACAGCCGACATATGGGTGTATATTGTTCAAAACGGGGGACCACCGTTACTCGGTAGAAATGATTTATCAACGCTCGGTATTAATAACGTGTTAAACTTAAAGTGTAATTTTACCGGCGCAGAGGATAGCGTTGAAACGGTTTTAAAAAAGTATCCAAACGTGTTCAGTGAGGAGCTGGGGACTTTTAATGGATACAAAATATCACTAAAAGTAAAACCGGGGATCACGCCAAAGTTTTTTAAACATCGTCCAGTTCCTTTAGCATTAAGGGGAAAAGTTGAGACCGAGATAGATCGACTGTTGTCTATCAACGCTCTGATACCCGTCGACCACAGTGAATGGGCAACTCCCGTAGTTCCAATATTGAAAAGGGGCGGTAGTGTCAGGCTGTGCGGAGACTTTAAAATTACCATAAATCCCATCTTCGTCGCCAATTTGTTGTATACTTAACTGTAGAAGAATACAACTCAACTTTAGGATTAATAAAAGACGTTTATTATGAAACGCTATAACAGCAATGACAAGTAATTATTTTCAATATTAGCGTACGCCGTGAACAGTCCCCACTGCGTACACATTAATTAGTGTTATCTGAATAACCATATTATAAATATAACAATATAACAATATACAGTATAACAATATACAACAAGATCTTTGAGTAGTTGGATGATTTGGTTTGTGTGATTTGGCTGGATGTTTTTCGTGGTATTTGCATAGGTTTGGATCTGGATTATCTTTTTGTTTGATAATGGTATATTTATGTTTGGGTGTAATACGTCTCCAGTTGGACTTATTTCTGCTTTGGGTGGTAGGTGTTTGTTACCCAGTTCGGTAACTTGTTGGTAGTAGGAGCAGCCGCGATAATTTGCGGTGTGCTCGCCACCGCAATTGCAGCACTTTGGTTTCATTTCTTGGGTTTTTGTGCATTGGGCCGGTCCTGTTTTCTTAAATTGTTCGACGGAAATTTTAATATAAAATAGTGAATCGAGGTCGTAAATCTCTTTAGCGTTTGCGTTGTGAGTCAGAATCACTAGGCAAATAGGAAGTAGTTAACTTGGGGTACCAAAGCGCTTGACGGTCTGTACCTCGAAGCCGTGGTTTGTTAGTACTTGTTTGAGTTCGTCTTCTTCGATGTCAGTTGGTAGGCCTCTAACTATGACTTTCATAGTTCTTTCATCTGAAAGTTTGAAGGTGTGAAATGCAATGTTGTTTTCGGTAAGAATTTTCTGAATTATTCAGAATTGGTTAACTTCGTTTGTGATTAGTTGGATGTTGTTGTCGGACGTTATTTTTGCTGTGATGGAGTCTGGATTGGTGTCAGGATTTTGGAAAATAGTTGGGGCAATTTTTCTCCATGCCGAGGATTCTAGCATTATTGGTGGTATTTTGAATTTTTTGACAGAATTTGATTTAACAGAGCTTGTCTTATGAGGAGAAACTTGACATTGTAGGTTGGATAGGCTGGAGGAAGAAGATGAAATGTAAGAGTCGCCTGACATGGAGTCGTTGTCGGTAACCTCCGGGGAGGTTGGTGCGGAGCGCTGTTTGCCTTTATTGTCAGACAATGACAATGACTGGATTATTTTCTTAGCTTGTGGGGAGCAAGAGCGACGGTTAGATGAGGTAGGCGGAGATTTTCTTTTTCTGGCCATGGTGGCGAGAGTAGGGGTGCTTGGACTTGCCTTGCCTTTGTTTGACGGCCTGTGGCCTATAGAGATTTCCAGGCGTTAGCCTTTTCTTTCTTGGTTGAAGTTAACCTGATTGTTGTTCTTGGCGTTGTGGTTATTCTTTGTTATTCTTGGGTGTGAGAGTATCTGTTATTCTGTTAATTGTTGTATGTGCGTAAATTTTGATACTGATGCTCTGTGGAAGAATTCTTTTAATGCTGATTCTGCTGCTGCATATAAGGATGGCAGTTGAGTTGAATTTCTTAAATTTTCGTTTGTTAGGTAGTAGTCTGCGCCAGTTATTACTCGCAGGGCGATGTTTTGACCGCTTCTAGTTTTTTCCATTTGGTGTTGCTAATGTGTGCGCTCCATGCTACCGAACCGTAGAGTAGGGCAGGTTTGATGTATATTGAGTATATTTGTAATCTAGTTTTCATTGGTATGGGTGATCTGCTGTTTATCACTGGGTATAGCGCAGCCCTGACGCCCTTTGCCTTTTGTATGGTGCTTGTAGCGTGGTGGTGCATTTTGAGGTTGTGGTCAAGTGTTATGCCAAGATATTTTATTTTGTGTTTCCATTCGATGGGCTGGTTTTGTATAGTTATTTTCTTCGTTTTTCTGCTCGGTAGGGCCCCAAATAGGATGGTTTCGGTTTTATCGACGCTGAGCTTGAGTCTCCATTTTTCCATCCATGTTGCGGCAAGGTCGAGTTGTTTTTGCAGCTGGAGTATTGCGAAGTTAGTGTTTTGATTGCCTGAGTGGAACATGGTGTCGTCCGCGAATATTGCTGTCTTGGAGTGTGCGGTTAGCGGTAGGTCGTTAATGTATAGTACATACAGTATTGGCGACAGACACGAACCTTGCGGTACACCAGCTTCGATGTGGCGGGATGTAGATATTTGGTCGGCTACACGGATATGGAATGTCCGCCCTGTTATGAAAGATTTTATTAGTTTTATAATGTGTATCGGCAATTTTGTGTTTGTCTTTAGTTTGTAGATTAGCCCCTGATGCCATACGCGATCGAACGCTTTTTCTATGTCTAAAAATACTGCTGCGGTTCGCTTCTTGTTGTTTCTATTGCTTTGGATGTCTTGAAGCAGTTGGACGAGCTGTGTGGTGGTGGAATGGCCTTCTCTGAACGCGTGTTGTTCTGGTCTCGGCTTGATGTGTTTTTTTCAGATAAACGAGTATAATTTTTTTGAAGACTTTAGATATGGAGGTCAGAAGCGATATTGGTCTGTGGTTTTCCGGTTTTGAATGGTTTTTATTTGGTTTTGGGATCATTACTACTATGGCCTTTTTCCACTTTGTTGGGAAATAGGCTATTCGGATGCTTGCCGTGAATATGTAAGATAGCTGAGTTATTATGTTGTCCGGTAAGTTCCTTAAGGCCAAGTTTGATATATTGTCATGTCCAGGTGCTTTGCTAATTGGTAATTTGTTGATAATGGTTTTGATTTGTTTTGGTGAGATATAGTCAGTTATTGCGGCGCAGTCCCGATCCACTTCCGCTATCGCTTGAGTCACCTCCCGTATATCATCTCCCGGGTTGTTTGTGAATTGGCTTGCCATTGTATCCACGAATAGTTCTGCTTTCTCGTCTGCTTCATATATTTTGACCCCTGTTGTTGTTTGTAGCGGTGTATCTGCAGGTTTTTTGTTCAGGAGGCGGCGGTTTAGTTGATAGAGTGATTTATTTTTGAAATTTAACGTTTCTGAGAAATTGTCCCATACCCCTTGTAGGATTCTAGTGTTCAAGTGTTATGCCGAGATATTTTATTTTGTGTTTCCATTCGATGGGCTGGTTTTGTATAGTTATTTTCTTCGTTTTTCTGCTCGGTAGGGCCCCAAATAGGATGGCTTCGGTTTTATCGACGTTGAGCTTGAGTCTCCATTTTTCCATCCATGTTGCGGCAAGGTCGAGTTGTTTTTGCAGCTGGAGTATTGCGAAGTTAGTGTTTTGGTTGCCTGAGTGGAACATGGTGTCGTCCGCGAATATTGCTGTCTTGGAGTGTGCGGTTAGCGGTAGGTCGTTAAGGTACTTCGCGTAAGGTACTTTATCTATATACTCTATATACTCGTCGCCATACCGACTAGTAAACACTCGAGTTTTCCGTTTTACCTTATTTTTTCTACTTGAAAATCACCTAATTCGCTCCTGAAAGGGGCTGGTGACTGCTTAATCGCATAAATTTAAAAGGATGAGAATATGGTCAGAAGATAGGTCATTAATGCCGTCGATGGTCGGGGTGGGACCAGTTTTCATTATAGCTATGTCTAGCACATCTGGTCGTTGGTTGAGCTGGTCGGGAAAGTGTGTTGGCGAATCCAGTTCCATGATGAAATGGAAGTTCATGTGGTGGAAAAAGTGTCTTCCCGCAGTGTTTGTAGTGTGAGAGTTCCAAGCCTGATTTTTCGCGTTTAGGTTACCTGCTAGGTTGACATGACGGTAGTCTAGCAAGTTGTCGAGGTCGTAGTCGAGTAGACTAGTGCCTGGGCTTTTGTAAACTGCTGCCAAACGGATTTTTTAGGCTGTTGATCATGAGGTGGATCGCTGTGTTCTCTAGGGAGGTGGTCTGAACTAAGACTTCGTGACGGAGCAAGCGGTGATGGACAAGGCCGGCAGTTCCCCGCAGTTCGGTCGGCCAGCAGCTGTTGGGCGGTCGTTTCGGTAGGTGTAGAAGTTAGAAAGTTTGAGTTTTCCGTTGGATGTTAAATGAGTTTCATTTAAAAGTAGGATGTCAATTTTTAGTTAAATGGTAAGCCGGAAGAGTTCTGTACGGTTTTGTCCGCGACCCTGGCAGTTCCAGTAAAAGATTTTCAGGGAGTCATCCATTGCGGAAAACAACGAGCATGGCCGCTAGGGCCGACATAATAGTGTTCTTGATGTTGGCACCATCGTTAATTTTTTCAATGGTGACAGTGGTGAGGTCGATGATGTCATTGTTGACTGAGGCGAAGTTCCGGCCTTTTAATTTGATAATTTGATCACTTCGGAGTAGGAAGCTTGGTTTATATAAGTGGTAATGTGTTGACTGGCAACTGGAGGTTCTCTGTAAGAAGTAGTTGGGTTTGGTTTCCTAAAGTTGCGGAGGTCAGTATCCGCTTTCATGAAGGCTGGGCATTTCCTGTAATTGGTCGTGTGGGAACCGCCGCAGTTGCCACACTTTGCTGTTTGGTTTGGTGTCTTGGCGCATGATTTTGAGACGTGGCCTTCGCAAAGCATTATGAAGGGCCTGAGGTTTTGTATGGTTCAACTTTGATTGCTACGTATTGAAATAAGCAGAGTGAAAAGATTTCTTTGCTATCCGGGGTCTTAGGCAGAGTGACCATAAGCATTGGAACTTTCGGCCTTCCTTGAGAAACTGGCGTACATGAGTGACAGCGAAACCCAAGGCCTCGAGTTCGACTTTCACTTCAGGTTCAGAATAAAATGTAGTAGTACCTTGAGTAGTCTGTCCGAAGGAAGTGAGAATGTATGAAATTGTATTCCGTTTTCGGAGAGGGAGTGTTGGACTTCTCAAAATGTGCCAACGTCTGAAGCTTGTAAACGGAAAGTATTATTAGAGAACTTTACAGTGATTTTTGAGTCAAATTTTGCCATTATTTTCGTAGCAGCGGTTTTCCAGTTATCCGATTATAGGAGGAATGTGTGGGGTTTTAATTGGTTCGGGGATCTGGAATCCGACCTGGTATCGATTGTGGAGATGTTGCTGTCAGAAGTGTACATTTGGACATCATGATTTTCCGAAAGGTTTGATGAAGATGTGGCGGATGGCGAGCGGGACTTGATTGTTTTGTAGTTCGGAGGAGCAGCAGATGTTGAAACAGGTTTTGGTTTTTTCAGCATATTGTTATTTAGTGTAGGGCTTGCTACACGTTTGGTGGAGACCATATGTTTTTGGACGGACTAACCGTGGGTCGGCCCCTTGACTTTGCGGCTCGAAGGTGATTTCCTTTTCGTAAGTCCGCGGTGGCTGCGTGTAGGGTATAACTAATGTAGAGAGGTCAGAGATTACATTTAAATTGTAAGATTACCATCACTGATAAATTTACATAAAAATAATTTTATAACGGAATTTTCACATAAATTTCAAATATTTTTTTTACTAGCAAGCCTTTTTTTTTGTTATTATTACACAGTTATTACTACCTATTGAAGTTTTCTGATAAACAATAAATTTTAATTATATTTTCCAATCCATCTAGAAAAAATAAATAAAAGTTTTAAATAAAAACATATTAAATAAGGAAATTATCAGAATAAGATAACACCGTGCTTCAAGCGATGACCATTTGATTTAACTTTTCTTCCCCTGTTGATTTAAACGGTCAATGCCTATAGCCAAGTGTGCTTTAAGTAAATTATACTGCTATTTTAAGTATAAATAAAATGTTTTCGATTATCATAAATTAAGTATTCACATATTGTTTGGTACTAACACCTCGTACATTCTGATCTGAACAGATCCTCTAAACTATAATTTTTTATTTATGAATCATTTGACAATCAGGCAAATATTATAGTTTTGTTATATTTAATATTTGCTATTTCACAGGTATATGTTATGATAGTTTATTTTTTTTTTTTATATATCTTACTTCCATATGCATCTTCATGATTAGAAGCTTCTTTAATGTATATATCTGTTGTTTATTATTTAAAAAATATGTTCATAAACAGTAAAATTCAAAAACTTATAAGCTATTTTGTAAGAAGAAAAAAATTCTACTGACTTGTAAGTAAAACCTGCTTCTTATAATCGTTTTCTGTAAAGAAGATTTAAATATCAATTTTTTTTTTATTATTAACTACATTCATATAGTTAAAACTAAAATAATTACTCATATCATCGTCAGCCAAAACATTTACCAAAATAAATGCTATTAAAACACAGACAATTTTCATCTTTATCTGAAAATAGTAATAAACACAAAAACAATTTGTATTAGTCGCAGTCGCCTCCAGAGCGGAGATGAGTAGGTTTTGATTTTAAATTCAATGTGACTGAATGAATATTTAGTGTGACCCAAAAATATAAACCACTTTTTCAAAATCCTAATTTTAAAATAATTTTTATATAGAAAAAAAAACACATTAACCTAGCTAATAAAAAGTCTTAATAACAAAATAACAAAAATAAATACAAAAATGTTAAAATAGCCAAAATATGTTTCTTTTTGTGTATTTATAAAAGGCAATCGAAAATAGGACTTTGTTAACTTTTTAAAATGTATTGTGTAAAAAAGGTAGGTTGCAGGTATAGCAGGCGCGGATTCAGGGGGGGGGGGGGGGGGGGGTAAGGGCGCCCCCGCACCATGTGTCTTCTTTTTTTTTTGGTCAAAAATAGAATCTGATTTTATATTGTTTGGTCTACAAATATTATCTTGTACATATCGCTAGCTGCACAACCCGTGCCGTTCATATTGACCGCAGGGTTCAATACTTCAATAGGTCCTAATGTCTTATTGGATACTCTTGGATTAACTCTTTATTACAGTATTGTATAAGAGAAATGTTTTATTTGCAAGCTGTTCCTGAGCCTGAGCTAAGCCAACTTGATCCTAAAAATCAGTTATTCTACTTTTGTAAGTATGAATTTGTTCAATAACTGTAAATAGCCCTTTTGGTTTATTTCAAAGTTGAAATTTACTTTTTTTGTGATCACATAATAGTTACAATAAGTAATAGTAGACTTTTTTGAGCTTTTATTATTCAAAAAAAAAAATTGTAAACAATAAACAAAATTAACTATCGACTTTTATAATTATAGTTGTGAGAGAGAAAGCGGGATTCAACAAAAATTGTATTTAAAGTATTGTTTTGAACAGCATAAATGATTTTTGATCACTTCGCATCACAATAAATAACACATTTTTGTCAATACGTTTTACGTTAACGAAAAATTTGTCCAATGTAGGTTCAAGTTGTTTGATTTATTTAAATATGTTTATTCGATTAAAACACTTAGAACCTAATTCGAACCAAATTGTTTTCGCATAATTTGTTTATTTAAATAATTATTTTGCCAAAAAATTACAATTTTGAAATTTAAATTAGTATAATTAAAGAAAAGTTAAGAATTTATCATAGTAAGAATACTTAGTTGGGTTATTCACTATTGTTTCTTTTTGAAAAAAGCAATCTAGAAATTTAATACAATGCAAGTGTAGTTTTCCTTTTTTTTTTTTGCGTTTTCAAGATTTTTAAAACATTGTTGACGATATAGCCCTCTAGATACTTTAAATTTAAAATTTCAACTTAAAAACCAAAAAAAAAGATGCTACCTATTTTATTTTTATTATAATATGTTATTAACACGGTTATTCATTAAATTTTTAAGTTACTTTATTCTTAAAGTTGGACAAACTTGGAGAAGAGAGAAGAAAGTATACTGAAAATGCTGTAGAAAATATAATTAGAAATGGATTGAACTACCGACCTGTTTACCAGGGTAAATATTATTATAGAATTGTAATGGCATTGCTTTTTATTGTACTCCATTTTCTACTTTCACTTTATAACATTGAAAGAAAACTTTGGCAACCTTATCTCCCCTCGTTTACTGGGTCGTTTGGTTTCTAGTTTTCTCGTGTGGCCAACCCAATGGGGCCTTCTGACCTCTATACATGACTAGCACAGCTTAGTCAATTTTGTTGATCCGTCACTTACGTGATACATTTGAATGCCATACATTTAAAAGTCATTTAAATATTAATAATTCATAACCGTTTAACAAAAATATAAACGTTTATTTTTTAATAACCACACGTATAACACGTTATGGCTAGAATATTTAAAGTTACGTTTAAAATATTTAGGTAAAGCTTGACCTTCCAATAACAATAGTTTTTAATACAAAATCTTTTTAGCATTTAAAATACCCCAATTATGTAACAATAACTAAGGACTACATAAATGTATTTTATTAGATTTCGATGAATGACACAACAAAATAAACTATAATAACTAGTAAGCTAAATTAGGCAACTAAAAAAAATCTTATGTTTTATCAAGGTAAAACTCTACCAGGATTCCAACTTGGCCACCATTGCCTTTTGATAGGATTGTAAAAAAAATACAAAGCTCCTGTCAGTTGAATCATTTGGATATATAATAATAACGGAGACATACCATCCTAACGATTGCAAACTAACTTCTTCACTCGATATTACTACCCACTACCAAATGAATGGAAACCAAATTGTTCAAGTATGGCCAGATGATCCAAAAACGGAATCACTATTGAGTAGGTAGTAATGATAATTCAGATCAGGAACCTAGCGATAACTAATTTCTATACACTAAGCATTTTTTCGTATAATAATAAAATTATATACATATTACAGTACTATTATTATTAATATATTAAACACACTTTTATTTTTCATTACACACTTATATACAAAATTGTTAATTAATTACCTAATAAAGTTTATAATAAACATTTTTACTCAGGACTTTAAATATACTCTTTCTTTGATTTTTTTTCTAACCCTCTTTTTTTTGTTCCTAGATCCGCCCTCGGATTTTATAATTGGTTTAACCCAACTTTTGTTATTGTACTAATTTATACTGCACTTTGTGTGGACCGATAAATAACAATAATAATGGGCTAATAAGAAAACTGAGCATAAACAAATAATTCTGCGATAAACAGATTGTAGAGCTTGTTAAGACTCAAATACAACAGTGGCTGATTCTATGGTAGTAGCAGCAGTAGTTGATGATTTACAACTGAAGAGAGTAGCAACAAATGTAACATTCATAGCTTGCCAAAAACAGTTTATGAAGATTTTGTTATGACAACCATTTGTGCATAAAGTCCTAAAAAAAGGAACACATGTAATTCATTTACAAACAAACAAAAAATATCTAATTACTTAAATTTACAATACAAATAATTCTTGTTGAAAAAATTCTACAGCATAGAGTAGGTAATATCAACTTCATATAACACAAAAATACCAATTAGGTTTTTTTTTAAGGTTAAATCGCTTATGCATCTAGTTATAGTTATTTAGTCAATGTTTAAAAATATTAATGAAAAGTTTAGCAGTTGTAATAATTACCCTATTTGATTGCAGTTATCTACACCCTATTCATACACAAACTCAGTAAAAAAAACAAATGAAATTAGCCTCTCAGCTCCGTGTTGTAGCTAAAAAAATTAACATAAATTATAGGCTGAGATCACAAAAGTGTGCAGCCGTCTTTGTTTTAGTAGGTGAGATTCTTGAGAAAAATTCATAAGCATGCATCGTCTTATTTGTAGGCCTTTTCACAAGTACGCATAACAATACCTCACATCATTAACAAACGAGTAGACATTTTCAACTACACGATTTTAAACAAAAACAAAACGATTTTTCAAACCAAATATTCAAAAAGCAAACTTAACCTAATCTCACCCGAATTTTTATTAAGTTAAAACTTTTCAAATAATCACTAACGAAAATTTACCTGCAATAGCAAAACAAATATATTTTTAAATCCAATATAAAATACACTCTATTCACTATTTATTAAAATAATGGCTTTAATATAGAAAAAAATAATATACATAAATATATATGTACCTATAAATACATTACGCTCATTTCCAAATTTTCCACTGCACCCAAGGCCACCAACAACAAGCGGTTGATCCCAGGAACTAGTCAGCTATCTCCCCATGAATTCTCACCTTAAAACATAAAACTATAAAGTTACATTTTGCATAATTCTTATAGCCTCTATTGTTTTTGCTTACTTGGACTTATCGGCGATGATAAAATCCATAGCTCACAACATAGTAACTCGTCATTATCTTTTGAAAAACTTGGACAAGCATCAGAGACTTCTATATCGCTATCACTCAGTTAAGTCTGTAGTTTTATGAGGATCGTATTATGATTTCTTGTAATTATGTTTTGGAATTTCTATTATTTTTTACATACCATTGGCTCCAACTCGAGTTCCCGCTCGGAGTCACCTCTTCTACCATAGCGGTGTCCAAACCTTCTATCGGCTAGATCTTCATCCATGATGTGTAACAAGGCCATTTAACTCGAGCTTTTATATTCAAAGGCCTGTCAACGCCTTCAAAGTCAAGGGCCTTAATAGGAAAATGTTGATTTGATAGACAACGAAGAAAAATTAACAAAATCTGAAATGCAAAAGAAAAATATAGAACGATTTGGTTCTAAAATTAGAATACCCCATAAATACATAATATTATATAATCAGTTTTTGTTCACACTAACCCGAACGATTATTTAGAAGCGTTGATTTTTTGCGTAGTTTGTTCATTACAAAAAAAAATTTAAACCCTTTAAATTACAATAGCTGTGCAATCACTTTTTTAATTTTTCTGTTTTGTAGAGTTGTCTCAAAATAATGTTCCTAGCGAACGACTACTGGCTAGTATTCAGTATTATATAAAAAATATAAATGTTTTGTATAAAAAATATAAATGTAATTGGCGATTCTGTTGTTATGTGTCATGTTATCAGTACGCTGCAATAGTAAACTAATGATAAGAAATTTCCCAGGAGGTCCCAAGCTATATCCGCGATACAAGCAAACCGCGGTTATTTAAGTATACACGGTGAAAAATATTGTAAAAGCGATTTCTGAAGCACATTAATTAAGACAACATTTTTGATTTTCCAAATAAATTGAAAAATATTTAAATAGGTACCCACACCAAACACTGTGTTTAAATATTTTATGCGTAGACCGGGGTGGATCCAAGGGGGTGAAGCCTAAAAAAGATGGCCGCCGCGGTTTGTGTGATAAGCATCATCCCTGTGTTAATTTTTATCAGGGTCCGGAGTATAGAATAGAGAGTCACACCCCCTGGATAACATTTTATCGATCAATAAACAGTAGTCAGCTGTCGGTAATCTGTAAGCCATTGGTTTAGTATAATATTTGTCTATTGCTTTTGGTTCCTTCGCGAAAATACGCTTAATGTGAAATGCCTCATGTGCAATCGCTGTTAACTCTAGTCAACGTCTAACAACTTTAGTTGCGCCACAAGATCGATTTAAGTTGGACGGAGACTCACCAAACACCAGCGTATTGAACAGCTAGATACGGAAGAAGAAAACCGAGATGGCAGTCCCGTACCTCACCGAGGACGACCGCTTGTGGGAAACGCTGATGACCACCGTACAAAATGTACTAAAGAACAACTCTATTATGAGCTTTAAGTTACATACGGATCTGTATAACTACACATACAAATTGTTATCGTTAAAAAAAGGCGAACGACTGTACAACGGCCTGAAGGAAACAGTGTCTGCGCATTTAAAGACTAACGTGCTAGCCAAAGTGCTCGGCTCATTAAACAATCATTTTTTAAGAAAGCTGGAGCAATGCTGGCAGAATCATCAGAGAGCAATGGATGTGATTACATATTTATTCATGCATTTGAATGCAGTGAACAGGCTACACAGCGTTTACAGCCTTGGACTCAGATTGTTTTGCGACATTGTGGTGCACAACGATCTCATTAAATTTCATTTACGTGAAACATTGTTGAGCATGGTAATGAGTGAAAGAAACGGCGAGGTCATCGATAGGAAAGAGTTGGAGCGTGCGTGTCGAATGCTCATGGTGTTGGGAATTCAACAACGGACAGTGTATGAAGAAGATTTCGAAAAACCTTTTCTTGCCCTGTCCATCAAGTTCTACAAATTCGAAAGTAAAAGGCTGCTGGCCATAAACAGTGCTCCCAATTACATAAAAGAAGCTGAAGCGTGCTTCAGAAAGGAAGTCGAGCTGGCTGAAAACTTCATGGACCCCCCCAAGAATTGCTGCAAGAATGACTACAACTCAACCTCAAAGAAAATAATACAAGCGTTTAAGGAACATCTTATCCAGAAAAATATAAAAGCCATTTTGGAAATGGAAAATTCCGGCTTAGTGTTCATGTTGAGAAACAAAAGAACAAATGACCTGGCTTGTATGTACAATTTTCTGAAAAAATTTCCAGACGAACTCGAAACCATGTTAGATTGTTTAAGTAAATATCTACGAGAAGAAGGCTGTTCGTTGGTGAAAGAAGACGAAACCAATTTAAATCCTATCACTTGCATACAGAGTCTGTTGGATCTCAAAGATAGATTCGATTTATTCCTCAACAAATGTTTTGTCAACGACAAAATGTTCAAACAGACGATATCTTCGGGTTTCATATATTTTTTAAATTTAAATCCAAAATCTCCAGAGTACTTGTCGTTATTTATCGATGACAAGTTGAAGAGAGGAGTTTGTGGAATGGACGAGGACGACCTGGAATCGGTACTTGACAAAGCCATAGCGTTGTTCCGATTGCTTCAGGACAAAGATGTTTTCGAAACATACTATAGGCGACTTTTGGCCAAAAGATTGTTGCACAACAAATCTGTCAGCGACGATATCGAGAAAAACATGATCTCTAAATTGATATTGGTGTGTGGACGTCAATTCACGTATAAACTAGAAGGTATGCTCAAAGACATGGCGCTATCAAACTTCATGATGGATTCTTTTAAAAATTTAGCCAGGACTCCTTTGAATTGTAAGAATATGGAACTGTCCGTTTGCGTCTTGACAACTGGTTACTGGCCGTTGCCAGCAACCACACCGAAATGTAACATGCCAAGTGTAGCGCAACTGGCATACAATAATTATCAAAACTTTTGTATAAGAGAACCCAAGGGCCACCAACAATTAAGGCTCCAACCTCAATTGGGATGGGCGGACATTACTGCCGTGTTTAACGAGACTCGTCAAGATAATAGTGCGACAAGCACAAATGCCATCGATAGCATCGTGTGTCCCCTTCATTAAATTCTGGTACGAGCGTGAATTCTATTGGTACGTTGTCTACACGAAAATATAACTTCCAAGTTTCCACCTATCAAATGGCAATACTGATGTTGTTCAACACTTACGAGAAAATCACTATGGAAACCATCATGAACAAAACCGAAATCGACAAGGAAGATCTGACCCACGTTCTGCAATCGTTGGTGATGGGCAAACCACCGCAAAGAGTGCTGTTGAAGAGCCCTAATACACCAGAAATTGAACTATCTCACGAGTTCTCTGTGAACGAGTCGTACATGTCGAACAAATTCCAAGTCCAAATAATGTCAACCTCAACTAAAAGCGAAAGCAAGCCAGAATTTCAAAAGACCAAGGACACGGTGGAAGAGGATAGAATGCACAAAATCGAGGCAGCAGTGGTTTGCATTATGAAAGCTCGCAAAAAACTAACGCACGATACGCTCGTAATAGAAGTTGTTGAGCAGTTGAGGTCGCAATTCATGCCGTCATATAAATACATTAAAGAACGAATCGAGTGGTTGATCGAAAAAGAATACATAGCACGTACTCTGGAAGATCAAAACACTTACATCTATGTCATATAAACACATGCCACAAATTGTTTATCCGATGTCCATTTATGTATGAGGTAATTATTTTAAAATATATATTTTCTTGTTTTTAATACTAGAGAACAAAATTTTAGGTTTTAAAAAGTTAAAATTATTATAGGCACTAATAATGTCTTAAAGTATTCTGTTAATACTTAATAAAAAACTGGTAAAATATGGTATAAAGAAAAAAAACCTAAAAATCATCTCTTATCTCCATAATAATATTTTTTCAATGATATTAATATCATTTCTGATTGATACATTTGTTACCCTTTTAAAGCTGTAAAAAGCCTAAATAAATATATGTATAAACTTAAAATATATTTTCATGTAAAAATCCACTATAATAGCTAAATTAATGTAACAAAAACATACTATATAATATGTTTAATTATTCAGTTAAAACAACAAATAATACATTTTGAACAAAGAAAAAAATTATAATTGAATATTATTTCTTTGAGAGATAAAATAAATTCAAATTAAAAAATATTTTATTCCTGAAATAGGTATTACCAAAATGTTATATTTAAATATTAAAAACAATCTCTCTAAATACTAAAACATTTTTAATAAAAACTACAAACTAATGCCAACATACTTGAACGTAAAAAAAAATAATATTATTATTGTTCACTATATCTTTGGTCATTTAATTTAATGTAGTAACTTAAAAACAGTCTCTCTTAAAATAATACAATTATAAATAATAATTCATCAATATATTAATAAAAAATATGATTTTTTCAGAAAATTATGCAAACTAGATAAAAATATTCTCTAATCTCCTAATTTGCAACTATATGCATAATAAATATTTATCTACAATTTTTTTTACATTGGGGAATAATTTAAATTAATGCTTTAAATAGATTTTTAATTCATTAACATAAATTTAAATTAATTGGACCGTTGGACTGATAATCATTGTTTTTGCCACACTAGTATTGCAAACAATTTTATTTTAAACACAAACCTTTGTAAATGTTTTACCAAATTAATTGTGCATTGTTTATGTTTCAGATAATCGTTTTGTAAAAAAGAAGTTTGTAGGTTGATACATTTCTACCTGAAATGTATCAACCTAAAATGTAACCTGAAATGTATCAACATGTGATTTTGAACTAATGAATACCGACGGTTTTTACTCGTGTGGTTTTTTTCTTATTTAATTATTGTTTAAGTGTAGTATAAAAATAATTCAAAATTATTCTAGTGATAAGATTGTGTTTTACGTTTTATGTAGTGTGCATATTATGTAGATGTTAGTTTTCTATAAGAATTATTTGATTTTGCCATTAACTTTTCACTACTTACATTAGGAATAATTTTAGGTATTTTTTTGTGTGATTGTTTATAAATATACTCGATAAAAAAAAAATATACTTACATTTTACTTTATACATATATCCTTAATCCTCGACAGCGATGATGAATGCACCGTATGTGGTGAACAATGCAACAAAGTTGCAAAATACCACAACAAAACCGACTAATTAGAATGTAAGATGGTTCGACATTGTTGGATTACAGTAAATAGAAAAATAATGTATTATAAATAGTAAATGTTAATCCAGCCCATTTACACGGTGCCGTTTGTTATGAACCGATATATTCATCGGAAACAGATTAGTAAGAAAAAGTTACAGTATACTTAAATAGTATGTGTAAGTTGTAATGTTTAAAATAAAATAATAATAAAATAAACTGATATATGTATATAATTGTCTAAACACTTTTAAATTCAAATATAAACTATGTATTAAATTTCCCCAACAACACTTTCTTTAATTATTTCATTTGCAATATTTTTCAATTTTTTTTTATAGATGGAACTACTTGGTATTAACTAAATGAATAATAATAATATGTACATTTTAACATGAAAACCCCAATGACTGCTATGACCTGCTGTTGATACAGTGACTTAATTTTTTACCAATCAGTTATATTATTCTGGTTTTCTCGGTTCTTAGGATAAAGGAGTTGTCTTTTTTCTAACGAGTGTGAAACTAGCAATTCCATTCTAGCAATTCGTGATA